CTTCCACACGCCAGCAATGTGCAAGTGTTACTGCGCAGTGTTACCTTATATCAGCATGTTCTTCATCCAACCGCCTGTCCCCTGTATTTTTTTGTGAATTTTGTTACATACAGACGGCTCCACATGTGCTCAGCCAGAAAGGAGTCTATCAATAGGCCCAGTGACCGATCTTGATTTCCCCATTCCTTGAGGTGGCAGGAAATGTGTTTTTTTCTTATTAATACAGTTGATTTCGATACTGTTGTTATTGTTATTGATGTTATGATTATGAAATTGTTATTCGAATCTCGATAACATTTAAGACAATGAAATAATGCAAAAGACCCTTTCCAAAAGTCGAGAAAATGGGTAAACAGGTGAGATAGGTATGACTAATAACTGAGTCCTTGATGACTAATTTATGTGTTAATACAATAAATACAATAAATTTGCATTACAGAGGGCATGACATGTAATCTTGCCATACGTGCCGACTGGGTTAAGAATTGTACTCATGTCTCGTCAAACTAGTTAACACAGGATTTCATCATCATTTTATTGATATTACATTTGGGAGAAGCAACACATAAAGGCTGTTTGTTATTGACCTTGCTTTTTTAGCACGCATGGAGCTATCTGTAAGTAACCTAACCCACTAAAATCTAAGGGGGACAGTACATAGTACCGTCGTTGACACCATAAAGGTCGATTTACATATATCAATGGCGTGTCAGTTCAGTGCCGGTGAAATCCGTGGCAATTCTGTGACGTCTGTTTACATATGTGTAGTGACTCCGTACAGTGTGATTTTTTTTCTTCTTTTTTTTTTTGTTGTTGAGTTTAGTCCAGTCCTTTATTTAGTTTTTTTTTAAGTTTAGTTTAGTCCTTTATTTACCTCTCTAGCTAACTACACAGGCGTGGGTAAGCATGGTCATAACATTTGAATTTTTGGCTATAACATTATTGTAACAAGTACTATATCAGTTAAAGGAAAGGAATAATCACACAATCCTCTATCTACTCATCTCCCACCCCGGCATACATTCCAAATTTAGGATACAAACCAAGTATATCTTTTAAGGCATCATATAATATGAAATGATTACATAGTTCTCCGTACCTCATGCTAGGTGGTCTGAAAGGCTGTAACACATGGCGCAGCTATAATATACAAGTGTTCGTTTATATTCTTCATTACTCAGTTTACACTTAGTTTCTTCACAAACTGTACTGACCTGCACATATAATCTATATCCAAGTCTGATTCTTGCAGTCACACTGTCTTGTATTTATATATAAACCATAGATGAATGAACCTTGCTGTGAAGGAAACTTTAATGATGTGTAAAATCCTAGCAATAGGTTCCCCAATATCTATATCCACACTTTGCTTATCACATGTTCAGTTTACTAGGCGATCAGCATGATCATGCTAAGGGACTCCAACATGTGATGGAATCCACACAGATCGTATATCATGGTCTTATTCTTTTGCACGATGCACGTTTATCCTGATGTCATTTGTAATAATTCCTGCATCTTTGTCTAGATTGTTCAGAGCCTGGAGAGCACAATGTGAATCGCAGAAAAATTACCCCTGAGCTTTGATTTAATAGAAATTCGGTTTTCAAGATGCTTATTTTAATTGTAAGTGGGTACTGCTTAAGTATAGCAGGTAGAATAGAACTTCCATGTAGGGTCTTAGTTATGGGTATGTTCAGTGTTTACATGTTACTTGTACCCATGGATTTGAGTATTAATCGGTGTTGTCATTCAAAGTTAGCTCCACTATGCTATGTTTTAATTGTCTTTGGAACTCTGTACAGTGGAGGGGTTCTCTAATTGATCTGACGCTAATTTTATTTATGTATAATATGTGTATATATATATATACATACACACACACACACACACACACACACACACACACACACACACACACATATATATATATATATATATATATATATATATATATATATATATATATATATGTGTGTGTGTGTGTGTGTGTGTACTTATTTTATTCTATTTTTTTTAACAGGAGGTAAATTAAGTTTTGTTTTGACATTCACAATCCTTGTTGTTCTAGGAGCACCAAGAATGGTTCTCATGCCCTCATTTTGTACAATTATTAAACTAGTCAACTCTGATTCCCTGAACAATAGTAGGTGTAATAATCTATGACTGACCGCATGTATGGTAAGTAAAAAAGTCTCGCAATATTGACATTGATACCATGGTCTCTGCCAACAAGTGTCCTGAGTGGTTTCAACCCTTCACACAGCATTTTTTTCAGGTTTCTGATGAACTCTGCATCACTGACAATCACCCCGAGGTATTTGTATTGGTGGCAGAGATCTAACTTTGTGTCATTTATATGAAACCTTGGTAGAGGGATTGTGTTTGGTTTAAGTGCCTTGTTTTTTTCAGTCGAGATTATCAAGTCACACTCAGTAGCCCTCGCTGAAAGTATATCTAGAATCTGTTGCATTCTCTCATAGAATGAGGATTTAATGCAAATATCATTGGCATAGCAAATAATGAGGTCATTGACCTCAAGTGTTATATCGCCTAGTAATCTATGCATTAGGATATTATATAGGATGGGACTAAGTACACCTCCCTGAGATATGCCGAGTTCAAATACTTTTGTATGAGTGCTCTTAATGCCCCTGAAGAGAACCTGAGCCGATCAATTCGATTGATACATTTGAATTCATGTTAACAGTTTTCCCTGAATACCAAAGCTAGCCAGTTGATTAGGAAAAAATATCAGTTTGCGATATCAAAGGCAGATTGAAGGTCAAGAAACACAGGTTGTATGCCAAGGTTTGAGTTTGTTAAGTTCTCTGCAAAACAGTGCTGCCTGCTACGTCCTGGGAGAAATCCATACACATTTATGCGATACATTATTCTCCCACGTACTTTATACAGACAGGAGGTCAAGGAAATGGCTCTGTATCTGTCAGTAGGTGTAGGAATGACTAAACTTTTAGTCCAGGAGCTTAAGAGGATTCCTTGCGATAGGTGCAAAAGTGGGTTGCCTGGTACCTGAGGCGAAGGACGCTCTAAGTAATGCCTAATCTATTTCCAAGATGGCAGTTTTCAGACGTGGAGTTGGAAGTGATTTCAAATTGTTTCAAATTATTGTTTATTAAAACAAAGGATAACCTGAAGAAGCAAGGCATCCACCGGGAAGAGGCTATAACAGTTTGCATTCTGTCTGAGGTTAAATTTAAAAAATATTTTGTAGCAGGTTAGTTATCTATCTATTCAAAGCCATACAGGAGATTTTCCTTAACGAGAAACAGATCTTAAGCATTTATTTTACTATAGAGTGACAGTAGATTATTTTGTGTATTAAATAAAGGCTAAGTTCGTCATTGTTTTTTGTTGAGAAACTCGCAACACTCGATAGTGAAGATATTCAACTTCAGGACACGCAAACGTAAATGACACTGATGTTCAAAACGTAAGTCTTTAAAAGTACTTATATACTTATAAACTTATATGGAACTTGTTCAAAACAAGGTAGTGCGCCAGATACGTGTGAATATGTCTATTACTGAATGAGCCGATGTTAGTATATATATATATATATATATATATATATATATATATATATATATATATATATATATATATATATATGTATATATATATATATATATATATATATATATATATATATATATATATATATATATATATATATATATATATATATATATATATATATATATATATATATATATATATATATATATATATATATATATATATATATATATATATATATATATATATATATATATATATATATATATATATATTATATATATATATATATATATATATATATATATATATATATATATATATATATATATATATATATATATATATATATATATATATATATATATATATATATATATGAACCGTATTCATGTCGACAAATGTAGAAAAGGTATGAATGAGAATGAGTATCTTCACAATACAAGAGATGTATTTGACCGGTTTCGAATTATATCGTCGTCAGAAATACATGTATTTCTGACGAAGATATAATTCGAAACCGGTCAAATACATCTCTTGTATTGTGAAGATACTCATTCTCATTCATACCTTTTCTACATACATATATATATATATATATATATATATATATATATATATATATATATATATATATATATATATATATATATATATACATATATATATACATATAAACATATATAAAATAAATTATATATATATACATATATATATATATATATATATATATATATATATATATATATATATATATATATAACACACACACACACACACACACACACACACATATATATATATTGAAACAACAAGATTACAGGGAAGTTCAAGGACGCGACGAGCGGCTGTCGAGGTTTATCTCTATCTCACACAAACACGCACGCACACATACACACACACACACACACACAGGCACGCACACACACACACACACACACACACACACACATATATATATATATACATATATATATATATATATATATATATATATATATATATATATATATATATATATATATATATATATATATGAGCCATGCCTGATTTCTTTTCAGTTTGTGGCTTCCCCCTTTAGTGCCTGAGGGCCTTTGCGCGCTTAATCGTCCGAGGCTTGAAGGAGCTGCTTAGCATTATCTCCTTCACGTTGTACTTCTTGCTAAGTCTGTTCACTTTGGAAGACGAGATGCTAGAATGCGACGTAGACTATGACGCCTTTGAGCAATATGCCAGCAGCGCCGTCGCCCAACGCGCCCCGCATTCGACGGCGGGCACGTTCTACCCTAGGCTCTCGCGCGCCGACTATTCGGACATGTGCCGAAACCGCTAGCTCTCCGACGACGTGATCGATGGCGCCATGTCGCTGATCCAGATCCACTTCCCCGAGCTACAAGGCCTGCAGGCGAGCGGGGGCGTGATGTTCATGGAGCCGTTCCCGCAGCCGCAGCCGCCACGGTTCATCCAGATCATCAACAGGTCCACGGTCA